GAGGCTGTAACCTCACAGAACATGGATGGGGGCATCAATGGTAACGGAAAGAGTAAGGAAGACAACTTCGAAGTTCTGCTTCTCAAGATGGGTGCTATACTCTATACTCTTCGTGTACTCGTCCAGCAGGTGGAAGTATGTGTGTCCTAGGAACTCAAGATACACAGCTGGGCTGACCCCACCATCCAGGCAGAGGGAGGCCAAGGTCCCCAGTGACCAGGCTAGTTACCTGACTTGAAAGGCTGAGGACAGGCAAGGAAGTCTCAACCCCAGTCTCAGCTCACGGGAAGCCCCACGCCCCCGGCTTTGGCTTCAGGCTCTGTGCAAGCAATCTCCTGCCTGAGAGGAGGAGCAGCTTCTTCTAATCCCTTCCCACTCTTGCCCACCAAAATTCATTCCTCTTCCTCCACTTGCTTGGCCCACTTAGGAATGGGGGAACGTGCTTGTTCCAAACACTCAGAGGTACCATCTTCCCATGCCCATAGTCAAATCCTCTCATCCCTGCCTTCTTAGTCTTCAATAGAGAAAGACAGATGTGGGGGATTTCTTTCCAGCCCTCAGGACATAGTAGTGGACCATGGTCCCATGCAGTCTCCAGAAAAATTATATAAATGGCTCCAGGGGGCTGTATGGTGTATCCAGAGAAGCAGAAACTGAGACAAACCAGGAGTTTCCTCTTGCTTCTGCCCCATTCCAGACCTTGAGAAAGTGTCCCAATTTCTCTGATTTCTTGCTTAACAAATAAGCATCCTTACAGGTTACAAGGATGAAACTGAAGCTATGTAGGCAAAACACCTGGCACCACCCTTGACATAGATAGTGCCTGGTAAATATTAGTTTCTTTAGCTCCCAGCCCAGTGTGCTCATCACACCTTTTCACACCCATCAGAGCCTGAGCAGAGCATTCTGGAGATGGGGATTACCAGTGTTCACCCAGCCGACCCATGTTTGCACAAAGTGCCTTTGTGTGTAGCACCTAGAACAGCAATTCCACTTAAAGATTAAAAAAAAAAAAAAAAACCAGCACATTATTTTAGTATCAAGACAAGTATTATGAAGAAGAATGCAAAATTTATATTAACTTTAAAAGGAAATATGAGGGCATTTGACAGCAGTTAAGCCACTACTTGGCACACCCATATCCCATATTGGAGTGCCTGGGTTTGAGTTTTGGATGCATTCTGAAGTCCAGCTTCCTGCTAATGCAAACCATGGTAGGCAGCAGGTGACAGCTCAAGTACTTGGGTCCTTGTCACCCATGTGGGAGACTCATATTGACTTCCAGGTTTCAGCTTGGCCCAGCCCTAGCTGTTATGGGCATTTGGTAAGTAAACTAGTAGAAAGATCTTGATCTCGATCTCTCTCTCTCTCTCTGCCTTTCAAATGAAAAATACATACCTATATAAACACATATTTAACTGTTTAAATAATAAAAGAAATATTAAAAACCATTAGAAAATGTGAGCCGCTTGGCCCACACCACAGACTTCTCAGGAATCTCACACAGGACAGCTCTGAAGAAGCAAAGATGTCCGAAAGATATGACCTCAGGTTTGAGTCACACATATCCCCACCTTTTCCTGCAGTGAGACATGAACCAGAGGTGCCATGGGACTCCCTCAGAAATCAGGGTGGAAGAGAACTGGTCCAGAGGACAGCCCAGCACTTGAGCTCATCATGCGCAGAGTCCCCAGCCACTGGCCTGCACAGGCTGCGTCTCTCTGACTTGTGAGTCATCTGGGGCAGAATCTTCCAAGACTCTCTCCCCTTCAATTCTCAGGAAAAGGCATTCTCATTTCCAGGAAAACTCTGAAATTTGCTGTAGGTCAAGTACGGGCTGTTCAGCCAGGTCAAAGTTGTTGTCCTGGCTCACACCTCATTCCAGCCTCCTGCCACTTCTGGGTCACCCTCCATGGTCAGATTCTGGGATGTGAACTGGAGGTGACCCCATCCCTTTATCTCTGCTGCCTGTGTCCTGCTGGACTCAGACCTGTGGCTCCTCTTAGCTCAGGTAGACCTGAACTGAGGACCAAGTCTCCCATGTTCACTTTCTCATCAGAAAAATGCAGCTCCTTCCCAGAATCAGTCAGCACATTCGCAAATTTCAATATAGTCACAAACAGAAAAATGGAGCAGTGACTATCTCTAAGCGGTGGGAATATAAGTAATTCCTCTTTTCACCACTTTGCTTACCTTTATTTTCGCATTCTCAACAATGAGCATGTATTATTTGTGATGATTTTAAATTCTGAATTCAAGTTCAAAATTCAAAACAGAAAATCACAGAATATTTTTCCATAGGATGGGAGAATGGAATGCCAGTAATTCCTACACATGGCCTTCTGTTAAGAGGAAGTTCTTTCATACCTAGAGTCACATGATCAAATGAGACTGATGTGGAAGCACAGTTATACAACGTGCTTTACATTTCCTTAAGGTTATCTTCTCAGGAACCAAAATCACGAGAAAAAAACTAGAGAAACTGCCAGTAAGGCTCCAGGAAAACCAAATTCAAAGTCATGGTCTAGGGAGATCACATTATTCCCCCAACTTAGTAACCTGAAGAAGTAGCACCTTAAATTAACAACAAGAGTCACCGTGCACTAACTCCTCATGCAGGACCTCTGTCCTCAATGAGCTGTATTATCAAAGTTAACTGTAAAACTAATTCTCAGCCTGCGCCGCTGCTCACTAGGCTAATCCTCCGCCTGCGGCACCGGCACACCGGGTTCTAGTCCTGGTCGGGGCACCAGATTCTGTCCCGGTTGCCCCTCTTCCAGGCCAGCTCTCTGCTGTTGCCAGGGAAGGCAGTGGAGGATGGCCCAAGTACTTGGGCCCTGCACCCCATGGGAGACCAGGAGAAGCACCTGGCTCCTGCCATCGGATCAGCGTGGTGTGCCGGCTGCAGCGGCCATTGGAGGGTGAACTGACGGCAGGGGAAGACCTTTCTCTCTGTCTCTCTCTCTCTCACTGTCCACTCTGCCTGTCAAAAAAAAAAAAAACCTAATTCTCAAACAGTTTTGTGTGTATGTGTGTGTGTGTGCAAATTATTGAAATCTTTACTTAGTATGGAGTTGGTCTTCTATGTACAAAGCTAATTGAAAATGAATCTTAATGGAGAATGGGACTGGGAGGAGGAGAGGGAGGAGGGGGGAGGGGTGTGGGTGGGAGGGTGGGTATGGTGGGAAGAATAACTATATTCTTAAAGTTGTACTTATGAAATTTGTATTCCTTTAAAAATAAATTAATTCATTCATTTAAAAAAAGAAAAAAGTAGCACTGAGGTAGAACGTACTATTAATTAATTTAACAAGTATCTGAATACTTATTATGTTCCAGGCATCACTTTAGGTATGGGGGAGACGGCAGTAAACAAAAGTAGCATGGTCTGGAGGTGATGGCCAGCCAGTTACTGGCTGTGTGTCTGTGGGCTAGTCCTGTAACCTCTCTGGGCCTCAGTTTCCTTGAGTGTAAAATGGAAATGATCATTGTATAGTTCACGGTATTGTCATGAAGATGAAATTAGAGAAGCATATGAAGTGCTAGGGTTCTGCCTGACCAGAGTAACTCCGATCTGGACAGGCTATCCAGATCAGATGAAGTTTCACCATTTATGGTTTTATTTGGTATCAAAACATTACCGTAGGGGTCAGCACTGTGGCGTAGCAGGTAAAGCCACCACCAGCAGTGCCAGTATCCCATATAGGCGCCGGTTCGAGTTCCGGCTGCTCCACTTCCAATCCTGCTCTCTGTTATGGCCTGGGAAAGCAGTAGAAGGTGGTCCAAGTGCTTGGGCCTCTGCACCCACGTGGGAGACCCAGAAGCTCCTGGCTCCTGGCTTTGGATTCACATACCTCCAGCTGTTGCGGCCATTTGGGGAGTGAACCTCTCTCTCTCTCTCTGCCTCTGCCTCTCTGTAACTCTGCCTTTTAAATAAGTAAATAAATCTTTAAAAATACATATCATATATAATCATATTGACAAGAGAATTAAAATCTATAGTTGCAATCTTATGACAAAAATCAGTGACAATGGCAAGGACAGAATCTATAGTTCCCTAAGAAGACTGCATTAAGTGATGTTACCATAGTTGCCACATGACTGTGGCCCCACCCCAGTACATGACCCCTGGCTGATTTGGATACATGCACTGTGACCCTGGGCCTCCCTGAAGGTATACCAAGACACTGGGCAATGGCAGGGATCAGGTGGACACCAGGCTTCTGTGAACACTCAGATCAGGGAGTGCCTAAGGCGGGAGACTTCCTGCCAAACACACACCACAGCGGAGCTGACCTGGAGGTGATCTGGGCTTCAAGACAGAAGGACCCCAGAGAGGCTGGGCTTATCATTACAGAGCTACCAAGAGCCCAGTGCTCTCCTGACTAGAGCAGCAGTGCCAGCCTCAGCCTCGGGCTGCTGGAACAAGATGGTGACCCAGGAGGCAGGGCTCTGGATGTAACAGCTGGACTGGGCTGGAGAGCCGAGGCAGAGCACAGTGGGATGAAAGGCAGTGTCAGAAATTTTACTGGAACTGGATCATGAGTGCAATTCCTTCCACCTCTAGGATGATGTGATAAACCTCTCCTGTGTGCTAAACATTGGGCACAGCTGCAACATAGGAAACCGGCTCTCTACAGCCTCCTGAGCACCTATTGAATTAACCAATGACAGAAAAAAGGAACAAAAAAATTCAACCTTACTAGACATGAGTTGCCTGCAAAGATAAAGAGAAGTATTTTATATCCTTCCTGAGCAAACTGGGGGTAATACCAACATCAGAGAGGCTGTGATAAACCTGGAACAATCATGCTGGTGATGGGATAAAGCAGGTACCACTCTTTTTGAAAGCAATAACCATTTGGGAGTTTACCTTAAAGAATAACTTGTAGGTGTTCATCACATATTTCTAATAAGAGACAAAAATTCTTAAATAGGAAGAGGTTAGGTAGACTATGAAACATGATAGAATATTAAACATTCATATGTATGATGCTTACAAAGAATGGCTGTCACCTGAGGCCAAGGCGTGCATCCTGGTCACCACTGTTGTCCCAGCAAGGCCTGCAACACAGAAACAGCTCATTAAATACTTGCTAAATGAATGAGTAAATGAATAAATGAAACCAAGTGAGGGAAAATGCTTGTTACAGATTATATAAAAAAAAAAAAAACTAAAAATCACAACTAAGCTATGATATCCAGAATATGAAACATCCTATATATGCACGTGTCAGAGATGTGGACTGCAATGTAAATAAATCAAAAACAGATATTTGGGCACAGTATGAGGCGTGATGTGTTGTTCTTACTCACTCGATGCGTACTACTGAGTACCCAGGCACTGAAAGTACAGCAGTGAGCAAAACAGATGAAGCTTCTAGTCTAATGAACAGCTTATCCTAGTGTGTAACTGGGAGGGTGGGAGCAGAGAAGAGATAGACAATAAAAACATATAGTAAGAGAACGTAGCCATCAGAAGGTGTTAAGTGCTATCACAAATATAAAGCACTGGAGCCGGCGCTGTGGCAGAGTGGGTTAAAGCCCTGGCCTGAAGCACCAGCATCCCATATGGGCGCAGGTTCTAGTCCTGGCTGCTCCTCTTCTGGTCCAGCTCTCTGCTATGGCCTGGGAAAGCAGTAGAAGATGGCCCAAGTCCTTGGGCCCCTGCACCCACATGGGAGACCCGGAAGAAGCTCCTGGTTCCCGGTTTCGGATAAGCGCAGCTCCAGCTGTTGCAGCCATCTGGGGAGTGAACCAGTGGATGGAAGATCTCTCTCTCTGTGTGTCTCTACCTCTCTCTGTAACTCTGTCTCTCAAATAAATAAAATAAATCTTGAAAAAAAAATAATAAAGCAGCAAGGGGGAACGGAGGGTACAGGAGTTGAAAGGACACCATGTTACGTGAGCTGGCCATGAGTTTATCCAGGGAAGGCTTCCAAGTAGAGAATAGCAAGTGCAAAGGCCCTGTGCTTAGTGCAATCAAAGAACAGATTGGAGGTCTGTGTACTGGAGCAGAGGGGCTTAGGGGATGAGGCAGAGAGGCTGTAGGAGTCAGGGTATGTGGTACTGTCAGACTTTGTGAGGACATCAGGGTTTGTCAAGCTCTCCACAACAATGAGAAATGACTTGGAGTTTGAGCAGAGGTATGACACAATCTGACACTCTCCTCTTATATGAATATTTGGAGGCAGATATTTGGCACAGCCATTAAGAGGCCTGCATCCCATGTAGGAGTGCCGGGGTTTGAGTTCCAGCTCTGTTCCTGATCCCAGCTTCCTGCTAATGCACACCCTTGGAGGTAGCAGGCAATGGCTCAAAAACTTGGGTCTCTGCCATTTACATGGGAGCCCTGGACTGAGTTCCAGGCTCCTGGTTTTGCCCTGAACCAGATCTGGCTGTTGTAGGCTGTTGGAGACTGAACCAGCAAATGGGAGATCTCTGTCTGTCTCTGTCTGTCTATCTGTCTTTCAAATGAAATGAAAATAAATAAAAAAATCTTAAAATAATTAGTTTTTAGAACAGAACTTTATGGAAGTTTAAGATGAGAAATTTTAAGCAATGAACATATTATTGTAACATTCATAAATTGATTGCTTTTTGAGCACCCCACTTTAAGAAAAGAACAGATTACAAAGATTTTCAAGACTACAAAGACATACAAGGGTACTCCAAAAACTTCATGGAAACATGGAATTAAAAGATGAGTTCATGTTGGTGGCCAAAAAAGCTTAAAATCTATGTATAGATTTTTTCATAATATACATTTTTCATGAACTTTTTGAAGATCTCTCATTTGCAGGAATTTCCAAATTTTTGTGCACCAAAATGATCTTTTAATTCCATTTTCCATGAACTATTTGAAGTGTCCTTGCATCAACTATGTAAAAATGTTTTCGGGGCAGCACTATGGGAAAGCAGTGGAAGACGGTCCAAGTCCTTGGGCCCCTGCACCCACATGGGAGACCCGAAAGAAGCTCCCGGCTCTTGGCTTCGGATCAGTGCAGCTCCAGCCATTGTGGTCATCTGGAGAGTGAACCAGCAGACGATGGAAGACCTCTCTCTGTGCCTCTCCTTCCCTCTCTGTGTAACTCTTTCAAATAAATAAATCTTTAAAAAAAATTAAAATGTTTTCAAACTATACACTAGAGATCATTTTTCTCAATTTACATTTAGGCTCATGTTTCATATCCTATAGCAAGTCCAGTAAGTGTAAACTGTACTGCTGTTGAAGAAACACTAAAGTTGGCTGCTTATTTGACTAGTCTTAAGTATCCCACCTACAACATGTCTGCAGTGTCACTCACAATCCCATTGCTGATAGGAGACCCTTGTAGGAAGTCTGAGTGTGCTGGCAAGATTATTTGAAAAACTAATAAAATCCTTGTAATCCCTTTCAAGAATACAGAGAGGAAAATGGCTGCATTTCAAATTCATGGCATTTCAAAGGCATGAATTAAGCTCAAAGCTCTACATGTAGGGGAAAAAATATCAACACAAGTTCTCTAATTTATGTTCTAAACTGAGAAAACAAATCGTTGCTAAGAAATGAAATTTGCAAAAAATATTCAAATTTGTTTCTCAAACACATTTTCTAGTTGATATGCACATACTAAAATCTACAAACTATACTAAAATATAAATTTCAGGAATCACTACCTTTGAACTTGGTTGTTCCAGTTTCACTGTGAAATCTGGAGTGGCTTTCTGGTTTGGTTAATTTTATTTCTAGGCATTCTGCCTTTTAGGTGTGTATACAATTGATCATGTGTGATGAAGTTGACACAATACTACAGTGAAAACGTCTGAAAAGGCTCCTTGCTTCCCTTCCTCCTCACTCAGCACACTTCAGGCAAGAGGGCTTCCAATTACTGTCCCCAGAATCTTTGTTTCTGTGACATTCATGTCAGAGGGCTCTGCACTCTGACCAAGCATCGTCTTGCTTTCCACTCGCTGTACACTTTAGCACAGAGCTACAAGAGTTCTCTTCTTCAAAGCAGCCTGGGACACTTGCCAATAAACCATCCAATGACTTGCCTTTCAATCCCATGCCCACCCTGCCCCGACTGCTGCCCCCAGCTCCTCCACCTCTGAGCAGCAGTGTTGCCCTCTCTTCCCTCCTCTTTGCTACTCACCACATCTGTCCTCTCACTGGTCCCATCTGTCCATTACTTCCTGGCTTCCCCTTCCTCTCCATGGACCATAACTTCCACATCTCTTGTCAGTATCTCCAAATCCTTTGTCCAACAAAGTTCAGCCCTCACCAGAAGACATCTCCTTGCCTATCTCAGGGTGATAAAGAAAACTCACACCCTCACAGATTAGTGTCCTCACAAAGCCATGGTCCCCAACCTCCACAAGCCCTAATCACTGCTCTACAGCCTCTTTGGTTTGCTATTAGCTTTCTTTCCTTTTTCCATGGCAGCCATCTTTTTAATTTTTTGAAAATTTATTTTAAAGGCAGAGAGAAAGAGAGCTAGAGAGACAGAGGGATCTCCAATATTGTTTTACTCCTCAAATGCCTGCAAAGCCAGGAGCTGGGAGCTTAGTCTGGGCCTCCCCCCTCTCCCCCGTGGGTGGCAGATACTCAAGTACTTGAGCCATCACCTGCTGCCTCCCAGGGTGTGCATTAGCAAGAAGCTGGGATCTGGAGCAGAACCAGACATGAAACTCAGGCACTTCAATATGGGGTATGGGTGCCCCATTGCGCCAAACCCCCAGCCCAAGCAGCCATCTTGAATCTTTTCTTCTTTCTTCAAATTTCCCACCCCTAATCAGCTACTTGTTTAACTTCCAATTCCTCACTCCTTCCTCCCCTCCCCATCTTAGAGGAAAAGTGGGTCCTCCTGCTCACCCTGAACCCCACCACTACCCACACTCTTACTGATTTCCCTCCAGCTTTCAATCCCTCTCTCTCCTTTCACTGCTATGGGCTTCCTGCTATGGGCTTCTCTCTCAGTCTTTTTGTTTTTTTAATGTCCTACGCATTCCCAATTAGAAACAAATTGTTCCCCAACCCTCTATCTCTCTGGTTTTCTTTCTCCTCCCCTTTAAAGCTGATCCACTCCCAAAAGTTGTCTCCCATTCAGACTTCTACTCTTGTGCCTCTAACTCAACCTACTCACTCCAAGGCCACCAATGACCTCTTTGTTGCTAAATGTGTGTGTGTGTGTGTGTGTGTGTGTTTTCAGACCTTGGCATATCTGACATTTCTGTACTGTTTGGCTTCTGTTAAAGATTGTTCTCTGATGTTCCTTCCTCTGACTATTCTCATCTTTCCTCCTGGGCTCTTCTTCCTCCACTTATCCCTTCAACGTTGGTATTTCTCAAGAGATTCTAGTCTCCTCCTTGACCCTCTCTACTGAAGAATTTCATGCATCCCCAAGGCTTCAATTATAATCTAGATGGTGATAATTTATGACTCTAGAACAGTTCTCCCTGATCAGCTCCAAACCACCTTAGCAGGTTATACATCACCTGGATATAGCATACTCAATTCAAACTCACCTCCTCTTCCTGCCCGAATCCGCAGCTCTGCTCTTCTACATGGAGGAGAGAGAACCACCATTTGTCCACCTCTTTGACCCATGCAGAATCCTGGGCCTCACCGTGGACTGACCCCTCCCCTCAGCTGAGCACCCAGCGTCCTCTGAACATCTGCCTCCCTGATGCAGCTCGGCTCCCCGTCCACTCCCCGTGCTCTACAGTAATCACCGCGGCAGCTTCCCCACCCAGCCTCATCTCCTGGTCATCTCCACCCGGCCCTGGGCCTTTTCAAAGCACACATCCCCCTAAAAACGCTCACTACCCCTAGAAACAGGTTATCTGAGAACTCTTCTTCCTCTTGAAGAAGGCAGGAGACCAGCACAATGTTCTCCTGGAATTCTTCACAACCCTTGCTCCCAAGCATCTAGAATGCCCTTCTCTTAAGGTTCTGTGCCCTAAAACCACCTCTTAAAAATGACAAATGTGTTCAGCATTTTTTATGACTTGAGCACTTTGTCTCATCTAATCCTTCCTATTCTTTTGTACATATTTCCATTTCGGTGATGAGAAAACTGAGGGCAGAAGAGTTCATGAACGGCCTGACCAGTCACACAAGTACTAGGACAGGGAATGGGGAATGGAATGCAGATTAGCCAGGACATTGCTTCCTGCTGTTCACTCACAGTCAAACCAATACCTGATAACCATCATATAAAATGCAGGTACAGACTAACTTTGCTACATGCTTAATATTTATGAAGGGGCCGGCATTATGGTGCAGCATGTTACGCTGCCACCTGTGACACTGGCAGCCCATATCAGAGCACCAGCTCAAGTCCCAGCTGCTACATTTCAGATCCACCTCCTTGCTAAGGCACCTAGGAAACCAGCAGATCATTGGGCCCTGCCATCCACATGGGAGACCCAGATGGAGCTCCAGGGTCCTGGCTTTGGCATGAACTAGCCCTAGCTGTTGTGGCCATTTGGAGAGTAAACCAGTAAATGGAAGATCTCCCTTTGTTACTCTCTGTCACTCTGCCTTTCAAGTAAATAAATAAATCATTTTTTTAAATTATTTTCATTTTTTTAAGATTTATTTATTTGAAAGGCAGAGTGACTGACAGGCAGAGGCAGAGAGAGACAGAGAAAGAGACAAAGACAGAGAGAGAGAGAATGATCTTCCATCCAATGGTTCACTCTCCAAATGGGTAACAGTTAGAGCTGGGCCAATCTGAAGTCAGGAGCCAGGAGCTTCCTCTAGGTCTCTCATGTGGGTTCAGGGGCCCAAGGACTTGGATCATCCTCTGCTGCTTTCCCAGGCACACTAGCAGAGACCTAGATTGGAAGTGGAGCAGCCGGGACTAGAATCGGTACCCATATGGGATGCTGGCACTGCACACAGTGGCTTTACACACTATACCACAGTGCTGGCCCCCAAATAAACAAGTCTTTTAAAAAAAACTTATGAAGTACTTTACATAGGCATCTCATTTATCCTTTATAACTCTGTCAAATAAGCGAACTGCAGGTTCAAGAGAGTAATTTGTGCAAGGTCACACAGCTGGTAAATGGGCCTGGATTTCCCCACCTCCACTCTTTTGAACTGCGCCCTACCACCACTAAGCAGCATTTTAAAACAGAGGAGACAGACCCAGGCCAGGGTCACACATCTAATCAGAGGCAAAGTCGGGATTAGAACCCAGGCTTCCTGACTCTGCCTGGGCAGATGCTATTTTAGCCTCTGTGTGTGGAGAGAATCCTGGACCTTTTCTTATTTCTACCAATTTTCTGAAAACGAGCACTACTTCCAAAGGGCTAAACCGGCCTCCAAAACGTGGGCTTTCTGGTAGCCCTCCGCTGATGCCCACTTCATGGCATGGGCCTGCCGTTGCCTGCTCTTCCAGTCTCTGCTCACTGCACCCACAGAACTGGGCACCCTGCTTCAGCACGCAGCCCACTGCCCCTGCCTCCTTACAGTTTTCTCACCATCAGGAACCAGGCCCCAGCTCTTTCCCCAGCTCCGACTGCCTTCCCTCACAGTCCAGCCAGGATCAAAGTCCCTCTGCCTTGCCTCTTGGAAGTCCTGTTAGTTTTTTTCCTCAATGCCATTCATTTAACTCATTCCTTCCTCCTAGCCTCCTTCTCGGGGTTTTCCCCAGCTCAATGATGGCAGGGTTGCTTCCTCTCAGACCTTGCCTCTTTGGTTTGAAACTGGCTCAAGGTAATAGTCCTCCTGGTTACTTCCTTTTTGACCAGGAATTCGTTATTCCCACGGATGAAGGCATTCTCCCCACAATGCCTCAGCTGACAGACACCAAAAAACTTCCAAAGGGGGAGGAGGGGTGATAAATGAAGAAGAGCCGACGCCAGTGAGGAAAGACTCTACCTAGCAAAGCGGAACATCAGTACTGGGGTCGTGTGGTGCAGAACAGAGGCTGGGAGAGGGAAAGGAAACTCAGGCCGTCTCTACTTGATAACTGGCAGTGGCAGGCCTGTCCCAGAAAGTTAGGGCATTTAGGCACAGAAGGAAGTAGGGCTGACAGCTAGAAACAGAGGAGCATAAAGAACTGATGGTATTGAGGGGAGACTGGACAGGAAGACTGGACATGAATCCATCGATCCCTAGCATCACAGGGTTGGAGGAGCCCTGGAAGCATTCAGGCCAAATCCCACCCCACTGTGGGAATGACAGACAGTTCTCCAAGAGGGTGGCATCCCTGTAGGTGACGTTCTCCCGCCGCGATCAATACCCAAGCTTAGGAAATCGGGATTTGGGAGGTGTATGTGAGTGAGGTTTTCAACTAACTTCAGCTTCAAGTCAACCAACATCTAGATCTCCATATCTACTGAGTACCTGCTGCGTGCACAGGCCATGGGCTATTAAGTGTGAGTCATGCAGACATGGCCCCTACTGTGGATCTTATAGTCTAAAGGGGACGGTAGGGGGTGGGGCGGGGCGGGGTGGGGGTAGAAGGTGCTGCCCAGACACAGGGCGGGCATTTAAAACATCTTCACAAAACAGGCAGCGTCTTGCTCGGGGCCCGAAGGGTGCTGAGGAGTCAGCAGAGGTCCAAGGGAGTGAGAGAGGACCGGTGCGTCAGGCTCCCCGATTTCCATGAAGGTGGTCCAGATCTTGCAGGGCCTTACCCGCCACGCTGAGGAGTACGATCTGAAACTCCCGAGGCAACGAACGCGAAGCCGTTGACCGGTTTTAAGCAAGAGAAGCGCCCTCTGGCGGTGTTGGTGGAGACGCTGTGGTAGCCAGCGGTGGTGAGGAAGCCAGAACCTAGGACGCCCGAAGGCCTTGGCGGCCCATGGGTTATGCTCCTCTATGATATGGTGCGACAAAAAACGCAAAGGTAAGGTTCAGAATGCACAGGGAAGGTCCTCTCCATCCTCCTTCACCTTTGCAGGCCAAGAACCAAAGAGGCTAGCCCTGGGTTTGCCTTATCACCTCAAGGCATGGGTCAGGGGACGGCTCGTTGCCACCCTTTCCCAGATAGGAAAACTGAGGCCTAGGGTCCCGAGATGTGAATAGAAGAGAAAATAAAGAATTGCAAACGGCCTCCCAAGAGACTGCCCGAGGTCACGCACGACTCTTCGAGGGGCCCGCGGCCTGCCCCATTTCTCCGCCAGCCATCCCCAACCGGCCGTCTTTGCTATGGAAACAGCCCTCCCGCCCTGCTCCGCGCCCCCTCTTCGCCAATGCACCCTGGGAAATGCAGTCCATCTCTGCTTGCCTGCCCGCGGCACGAGCCCACTCTGCGTCCTCAAAGGACTACAAATTCCAGAAGGCCTTGCGAAAATTCCGGCCGTCTCTGGGGGATGTGGTCTTGATGGAGAGACCCGGGATCCCGCGGGCGGGGCCGGAGGGCGAAGGGATGGTGCCCCCCAATGGGCAGCCTCCTGGGCGGGGCCCGAGTCGCCATTGGCTGCGGCGGCGCGGGGGAGGCGGGGTCACCGGAATGAGGCGCGGAGCTGTTCGCCTTTCCAGGTGCTGAGTCCGAGGGAGGCTCCAGACACGCGAGCCGCGGTCGCCGCCGCCGCAGCTGCCGCGAGAGTCGACGCCGGGAAGCCGGGGCCGTGAGGAATCGGGAGGAGCTGGGTGCGCTGACAGGCGCTGACCGCCCTCCTGCCCGCCTCCTGAGGTTGGTGCTGTGAAGACTCGCTTTTGTCTTATTGGGGCGGGGATGAGCTGAGGCGTGAGGGGGCCTGGGGAGTTGGTGGGACGTGTCCTCGCCGCTCTCGAGACCACCCGTCCTGGAGAGCCGCTGGCCACCCGTGAGCCTCCCTTGGCCAGGGGCTTGAGGTCGGAACAGCTTGGTGTTTGACGATGCAGAGGGTTCTGGAGTGTGAGGGAGGAGGGCCGGGTCGCCCCCACCCCTCCCCGGAGAGCGTTGGATGCTTGGAGCCTTCTCCACCCTCCCCCCTGTGCCTGAAGTCGCCGCTTCTTGGATTATTGAGGGTGGGAGGGGGTGTTCTGGGGTGGGGACCTTCGCCTTCACACCTGGCTGCCCCGGGTTACAAAGGAGTCTGATGTGATGGATGAGACCGCTGGATTTCTGAGTAGGGCCGTCGGAGGGTGTAAGACCCTTCCCCATTCCACCCAGCCAGCCAGGAGCCCAGGGTTTGGTGAAGAAGCGGGTTGAGAGTGCTCAAGGAGACCAGGGACTCGTCCCCTTCCCCACTGGGACCTTCCTAGGTTATTTGTGGGGAAGGAGTGAAATGCAAGAAGGAAAGGCTAGGAGACCCCTCCCCACCCTGTTCAGAGTCGCTTATAAAGGAAAGCATTGACAGATGCTTGGGGCCCCTGCGCCTAAGGTCCGAGTGGTCTGGGTGTGAGAGGTGGGGTGGGAGAAAGTAACAGGGGCTTGGACCCCTCCCCACCTGCCCCCTCGGGCCTTACCTGCAGGCCCTCTCTACCCGGATCCAGGCCCCAGACTGTACGAGTGGAGACGACCCTCCCTGCTCCGCCACGCCCCGAGGACCCGGGCTCCTGAGCCGCAGCGGGGAGCCAGTCCCAGATGGGCACGTGCGGGGCGGGACGGGGCGGGTCCCCACCACCTACGAACCCGGGAGCTCCAGGCGGACGCCCCCCGCGCGGGCTGCTGCGGTCGTCACGCCCCAGATCAGGCCGCGAGGTACTGCGTCCCGGGGCGCAGCGGCAGCTGATGGGCGCGGGGCTTTCGCGCTGGGCGCAGGCATCCGCGGGAAGACAAAGCGGCGGGCGCCGCACTGGCGGGCGTGCGCTGCGGGCTGGGCGAGGGGCGCGGCCGGGGGAGGGGGGTGTTCGGGCGCGGCGCGGGTGGCTTCGGCGGAAACGTGCCAGGAGCCGGGCGGGAGACAAAGCGCGCTCGCTCCTCGCGGGCCCGCGCGAGCTGGGATGGAAAATCCCGGAGGAGGAGGCAGCGGCAGCGTGGCAGACACTGCGCTTCGCACCCTTGCCTTTCCCCGCACCCCAGCCCACTGCCGGTGCGGTCCCCAGGTCGCTGCGTGCACGGTGGTGATCAGGGCCCCTTACGGGGGCGTTCAGGACTTTTAACCAGGAGGACAGGGACACGCAGGGGCTCTGTATTGCAGGAGGGGGGCCAGGGTCCAGAGGAGCATCCGGACTGGAAGCCCTCCCCACCCCAAGCCCCATCAAACATGTTAGATCTGACTTGGTTCTGGAGCGTGTGTGTGTGTTAGTGTGAATGTTTGGAGATCCGTGTGGGTCACAGTGCGAGTGAGAATGTGTGTGACTGGGTGAGTGTGCCCATGTGTGCTCCAGTGATGATGTGTGTGTCATCGTAGGCTTGTGCACTTTGCTGTGTGTGGAGGAAGAAGCCCACTTGCTCCTGGGCTTGGATGCTCTTGGGAACGAGGTAGTCACTCCTTCAACTCTCAAGCTATAGTCACGACCTAGGGTAGGAGCGGGTGCCCTCAGGGTGGAGACCCCTGCATGCTGCCTTGGGCCTAGCCTGCGTGTGTGAATATGGCCCAAGTAGGACTTCACAAGGAGGTGGAGCCCTGTTCAGCCCTTTGCAAAGCCTCTGGGGTCTCACTCTGAGCAGCATCCTCACCAGTGCCATACCCTTCCCATCCACAGAAATCTTAACCTCCTGTAATTGGCTGCCCTGGGAACCAGAATTTTCCCAATCCCACCACCACTGCCAAATGAGGGGCTCATCAACAGAGTCTCTAATAATATGGGTGCAAGACTGTGGCAAGGCAACTTTGTCCTCCGTGTCTGGAAGAACCATGGGGGCTGGGATTGCTTGTTAGTCACAGGTGGCATCTCACAAATATCACGTGCACTTAGAGAGGACATGAGGGTGACAGGGGTTCCACTGTGGGGTGATACCCCTAGAGGCTGAATGCAGTCCTCCCAGACCACCCCCAGCAAGTGACCCCAGTTTTACAGCACTTTTATGGCAAGTGCACTTTGAGATAATCACCGCAGAACTCTTCTTCCCATTGGATGAGGGGCTAGACTGTGGCCAGCAAAGCCACAGAAAGAGCATGTTCCAGTCAGTGGAGCCAGCAGCCTCCTGGTCCCATCCCAACAGGCAGCCACGGCCAGTGTTAACAGCGACCTCTGCTGGGTGGAAGTTAAACCAAAGCACAGTCTGGCAACTAATACCCCCTGGTGTAGAGGCTCAGAGTGGGCATAGTTAAACCAAAGCACAGTCTAGCAACTAATACCCCCTGGTGTAGAGGCTCAGAGTGGGCATTGGCATTGTTAGGTGAAACCACAAACCTCTCAGTTTCAAAGTGCACCGTCTACCAGCAGAGTCCTGAGTTTATGTGGTTGTCTGTAGGCCCTTCCAGCTGGTTCCAGAAGTGGAACTGCTGCTGTCCTCACCCCATGTTTAAAGAGGGCCTGGAGGCCTTTGTTCAACCAGTTGAGGGTGGGCATCAAATCTGTTTATAAGACCAATGTATGGGCCGGCACCGTGGCTCAATAGGCTAATCCTCCGCCTTGCAGTGCCGGCACACCGGGTTCTAGTCCCGGTCGGGGCACCAGATTCTGTCCCGGTTGCCCCTCTTCCAGGCCAGCTCTCTGCTATGGCCCGGGAGTGCAGTGGAGGATGGCCCAAGTGCTTGGGCCCTGCACCTGCATGGGAGACCAGGAGAAACACCTGGCTCCTGCCTTCGGATCAGCGCGATGTGCCGGCCATGGCAGCCATTGGAGGGTGAACCAACGGCAAAGGAAGACCTTTCTCTCTGTCTCTCTCTCTCATTGTCCACTCTGCCTGTCAAAAAAAAAAAAAAAAGACCAATGTATAGAAAATGTTTATGTAGCTCAGGGGGGTATCAGCATCTTTTTGGTCTCTCCTTCTCCCTCTACTACTCCCTGCCTCCCTCCCCTGTTCTACTTTTATCCTCTTCCTCATTATTAAATTAGCCAATAATATATTTTTTCCAAGACAAGGCTTCTTTTCCTCAATGATAATGTGGCCCAGAAAATGCAGACACCTGGAGGCTATTACTAAATGCAAAATACTGACAAAGACTGGCTTTTCCAGGCCTAACAATAGGTGTGGGAGAAGTGAATGAGACATGTTCAGTGCTTACTGCCCACCTGGTGACATGTGTCTTTTTTCCTGGAGTTACTGTGCAGGGATTTCATGCAGTCACAAAGTCTTTAGAGCTCCTCAAAGGAAGGAGGTATTTAAATACCTGGGATTGTTCTAACTTTGGCATCCATGTGATTTGCATTGAACTACGTGACTCAGTATCATAAAGTAAAAATAGGACTTAATTTCTTCCTCGCCTGTTTGGAAAGTGACTGCATATAGTGTGTTGTGTTCTGCATTGGAGAGTGAAAAGCTAAATTACCTCATAAACTGAAGCACCTGCTTATCCTGATTAGCGAGTGGTGCTTAACATCACCTACAGGCAATAACATTATTTTATGTTTCTTTTAATTCATACCTGAATCTTTGTCTTGTAAAATGTTTCCTCCTGCTCATACATTATTACTTTCACTTGAGGTTAATCAAGAATGTTTAATCCTGGTACTGGAGCCAAACAAATTAAATACCAGCAGATACAGGAAGATGTGGGTGGTGTTTCTGTTCCTTTTGGGCTCAAAAAAAAAAATTCTTGGAGTTCATTGCAAAGAAGAAAAGGGCCCTAGGGTTTGGTACATCTTATGGGTGGAGTTACAGCTCTCTGAGGAGAGGCTCCTTAGAAATTTCTACAAGGGCTGATCATGTTGAAGAATCTGACTGTGCACGCAAGGGGCAGCAGGCATGCTGGGAGTGAGACTGCGTGCAGCCCCTGGGATTCCTAAATTTCCACAGTAATGCAGCTTTTCTGGGAAAATTCCAATAAGTCCCCCTGCCCCAGCTCTCCTGCTTCCACAGGCAGTCAGCAGAGTGGCTAGGGGAGGGAGCTGTCCAGGGTTCTGGAGCCCGCTTGATGGAAAGGGAGGCGTTAGGGTGATGAAGCATAAGCAAGTGCTGGGGGCACAGCCTCTGAGGATTTCCCCCAGAGCTGGTCACAGAACAGAATGGAAAGAAAGAGAGCTGTAGAGGCTTTTACTGCCTCCCTTCAAATGAACCCATCGGCAATCCCTATTTAAAGAATTACAAGCTAATAATAAGAAGAGGAAACATCTTCTGAGTCAGGCTCTTCACGTGTAAGAATGTATTTAATCCTCACAGTCTTATGAGTAGGTGGTATTCTTCCCACTTTGAAGATGAGGAAATGAAGCTCGAGAGGAACGGGGCTTTTCCAAGGTCGCACGGAAGGGACAGTTTTGTTCCATCCTGGATCTCTGAAACTCCAGACCTGCCTTTACCACCATTGCTGTCCTCCTATTGCCATTACAGAAGCAAAAGTGAAGTCTTAGCCTCTCCTATATAAGATTCTAACCAAATTTTAAAGGAATGGGATTGGAGACCAACTAGGATTCTGACACAAATCACAAATATTCTGCTCAAATTCAGCAGATTTACACTTATCCTGGCAACAGGCTTGTGACCTGAACTCAAATATCAAAAGAAGTGAAAAAGGGCAGTGTAATGACTCTCATGAGCAGTGGCCCAGGGTTTTCTTTCCAGAGTGGAAAAATTTCACAGGAAGCTAAGCCTGGATGGCAACAGTGTTCTTTTTCCCTCTTTTAAGAAAGGAAGGGAAAAAAATAAAAACTCATGAGGAG